GCACTTTAAAGAAAGGAGCAGGGTGGATTTTCAGGAGATGGGGAGCTCTAAGGCTTGACCCTGAGGGCTCTCCTCCCAGCCGTTCTCAGCCCACATGCAGCAACCCCCATACTGAAGAGGACTATTGTTTTTTGTTTCAGATGGTCCTTTCCTTCCACATGGTGCTAAGGTGGTTTTCTAGGTAACTGCAGGGATGGAGGTCACTAGCCAGTCTAAACCAGGAGAGAAAGTCTGGTGTACTGATATCCAGTCTTATCTAGGATGGAAGACCAAGATTCTCCAGGGGCAGGGCAGCCCATCACCCAGCTTCTAAGTCAGGAAAGGAAGCTGAGTGGGAATGCCAGCTGATAAGCGCAGGCTGCACTGGCCCACGACTCCTTCAAGGGAGAGAGGCCCTGCTCCCTTTACCTGCTGAGCTCCTTTCAGCAGCTAAGGAGAACTTCAGGAGGTAAAAGACCAGCAGGGTGTGGAATAACTCCAAAGTGGGTGGTTTTTAAACATTTTTCAAAACAAATCTTACACAGAATCCCAATATAAAAAATAAAGTAATGCAGACCTGGGCAGTTTGCATTTTCTTTTTTCGTGGAAGAATCCTCAAGGTCTCTTAGAACTGTTCAAGGGCGCCTCAGCGAATGAGCCCTGAACAGTCCTAAGAGACCCTGAGGATTCTGTTGAGTAGTTTGAAAACCATTGTTCTGAGGAAGGGGGTCCAATCTGGCTCCTCCGCACTAAAGCTGCAACTCACAGAAAACAGGGTGCAAGGGTGGGGCAGACAAGCCAGCCTGCCTCCAGACCCACTAGGGAGGAAGGGAGGTTCCTGTGCGCCTGTGGACTTAGGCTAATGTTTGCTGCCAGCAGGGCATCTAAGAATCCAGGGGATTTTATGTAATGTTGCCACCACATGGTTCTTTTAAAAACACATAAGAAAATGTGAGGGTGTAGGGCAGATGAGGAGAGAGATGACACAGAGGGAGCAGCCTTCTCTTTAGCAAGATGTAAGGGAAATAATTCACTTACATAAAAAAGAAACAACACACACGCAAACCCTTCACCAGAAGCTTCACACCACATCCTCCTCCTCCCCCTGCTCCCCACCTTCACCGCATCCCTTTCAGAGCCAGGGTCACTGCAAGGGGCACCTGGCCTGCCCACTCACATCTGCCAAAATGTTGCATGCCAGTGTGGAAGACAAACCAAATTGCACAACCCCCTGTGTGTATTTAATTGGTGTACATAGATATCTTTAAAATAAAATAAATTCAATGATGACTCTATGTTGTTGTAAATATTCTTTATCCCTCCTCCATCTTACTCCCTTCCTTGGATGTAATGAAACTTGATAGAATATATCTTTCCAGATGTTTTGCTATAGATTTACATATAGGCTTGGTGTTTTACCCATTTGACACTATATCCTGGAAATCTTTTTATGTCAATATATATCAATTGACCTCATTAAAATACAATTTTTCACATATTTATCCTACAATTAATTCAGCCAGTCTACCACTGGTGGATATCTACACTGTAATTTTTACCAAAAGTTGTATCTTGTTCCTTCATTTTTTATGCAGAGCAGCGTCAGTCCTGGCATCAATTCCTTCCCTCTCCAGTGTGTCACCCTCTCTCCACAGCCAACAGATCAATATTCCTGTCCCAAGATCATCCACTACAATCACCCTTCCAACCCTTTTTTTTTTTTTTTTTTTTTTTTTGAGACAAAGTCTCATTCCTCTGTTGCCAGGCTGGAGTGAAGTGGTGTGATCTCAGCTCACTGCAACCTCAACCTCCTGGGTTCAACTGATTATCCTGCCTCAGCCTCCCGAGTAGCTGAGATTACAGGCATGCACCACCATGCCCAGCTAATTTTTGTATTTTTAGTAGAGAAAGGGTTTCACCATGTTGGCCAGGATGATCTCGATCTCTTGACCTCACGATCCGCCCACCTCGGCCTCCCAAAGTGCTGGGATTACAGGCATGAGCCGCCATGTCAGGCCCCAACCCCCATTTTAAATCGTAGTCCACCTCTCTTCTTTGCTCATACCTCAGAGCTTCTCAAATGGAGAAAACTACACACCCAAAAAACTGGGGCAAGGAAAACTGAAGAGCCTACAAACCTACCAGGACCTCTGGTGCTGCTCACTTTCTTCTCCTATTTCCCAGAGCAAGGGTCTACACCCCTTCCACCCTTCTCTCTCAGGCAGCAACTTTCTCATCTGCTTCAAAGGGAAAATTAAGGCACTTGAGCTTGAAATTCTTTATCTTCCCCCCACCTGCTCACATGCACCTAAACAATTACCCATCTACGTCTGCACATATCCTTTCCTTCTCCCTTCTGACAAGTGATAACTCTCCTTTCTCTGGGCTAATGTGAATCCCTTCTAGTATTTAATTCTTGAGATACTGATATAGAACCTCAATATATAAATATAGAAAATACATAAAACTGCTGGGCACGATGGCTCACACCTATAATCCCAGCACTTTGGGAGGCCAAGGTGGGTGGATCATGAAGTCAGGAGTTTGAGACCACTCTGGCCAACATAGTAAAATCCCATCTCTACTAAAAATACAAAAAATTAGCCGGGTGTGGTGGTATGCACCTGTAATCCCAGCTATTTGGGAGGCTGAGGCAGGAGAATTGCGTGAACCTGGGAGGCGGAGGTTGCAGTAAGCGGAGACTGTACCATTGCACTCCAGCTGGGGCGACAGTGCAAGACTCCATCTCAAAAAAAAAAAGAAAGAAAAAGAAAAAGAAAAGAAAAAGAAAAAAATATATAAAACTGATAAACTGATGGAGACTTAGGAGAGTTTTCATCTTTTTTTTTTTTTTTTTTTTTTTTTTTGAGTCTTGCTCTGTCCAGGCTGGAGGGCAGTGGCATGATCTTGGCTCACTGCAACCTTTGCCTCTCAGGTTCAAGTGATTCTACTGCCTCAACCTCCTGATTATCTGGGACTGCAGGCACACAGAAACATGCCTGGCTAATTTTTGTATTTTTAATAGAGGTGGGTTTTTGCCAGGCTAGCCAGGCTTGTCTCCAACTCCTGGCCTCAAGTGATCTGCCTGCCTAAGGCATCTTCTTTATTAATGCCTGTCTCAATGATCTCATCTTGTACAGGTCCCTCCCATAAGAGTCCCTCCCTTTACTATGTGTTTCTCTATCTTACTTGTTTTCTTAAAGCCAAATATCCAGAAACAGTCCCAAGCTCCCCACCCCCACTTCCTCACCCCCATTCATTCCTTAGCCCATCTTGATCTGCCGCTTGTTTTGCCCAAAACTGCTTTTCCAAACGGCACTAGTTACCATATACAGTGGACATTTCTCTTGGACAACAGTCCTTCTTTTGCTTCACCTTTCCATGATATATGACACTTCTTCACTCCTTCCTTCTTGAAACTCAACTCCCCTTGGGTTCTGTGATGCTGCTCTCTTGGCTTCCTGTAATTCTCTGGCCACCCTTCTGAGTCTTCCTCCCCAACCCTCTTAAATGCTGCTCTATCCCAGGGCTCAGCCTTTGGTTCCTTCCTTGCTCTAAGATACGTCATCCATGCCTGCAGATTCTACAATTCTTAAATCTATATCCCCAGTCCCGACCATTTTGCTGAGCTGTGGGAGCATGTGTCCAACTGACCTCAGATGCCTCAAACATGTTCCAAACTGAACTTACCTTTCCCTGAAACTGCTCCTTTTCATCTCACCATCATTTATTTCATGTCATCATCATCATTAGCCAAAAGCCTTAGACTCACTCTCAGTGCCTCCCCCACACATTCAGATAAATTTTCCAAGTTGACATCAAACTGCATCTTCAGATGCCATCCCTTCTTTCACCCAACAGCTCCTGCTTTAGTTCATTATCTGTGCCTGAACTTTTGCAATACTCAAGTCACCCTTCAGGAACATGCCTGAGTGGTCCTTCTAAAAGCACATCAAATAGATTCAAGCTGCTTAAGGCATTTCCAGTGCCTGCCCTCTCTAACTTTGTCTCGTTTCTTCCCAATGGTTCTCAAATCTTAGGCCTTAATACTTACATCTCCCAGAAAGGAGATGTAAGTATTCCTTCCTCCCTTCCTTCCTTCTTTCTTTTTTGAGACAGAGTCTTCCTCTGTCCTCCAGGCTGCAGTGCAATGGCGTGATCTTGGCTCACGGCAACCTCTGCCTCTGGATTTCAAGTGATTCTCCTGTCTCAGCCTCCCGAGTAGCTGGGACTACAGGCACCCGCCATCACGCTCAGCTAATTTTTGTACAGATGGGGGCTTAACCATGTTGGCCATGCTGGTCTTGAACTCCTGACCTCAGGTGATCCACCCGCTTCACCCTCCCAAACTGCTGGGATTACAGGCATGAGCCACCGTGCCCGGCCCAATTCTTTCTTGTCTCCATGTCTTTTGTACGCTGTTCTGTCTAGAAAGACTTTTAACCCCTATCTCTGAACTCCACCCACCTTTCCACACTCAGTAAACTGTCTCCATCTGCTCTTTTAAGCCTTCCCTGACAAGCTACACTTCCTTATTTTTGTATCTTTGGCACTGCTTCATACACAGCTCTAGGCCATTAGACTCCCAAAATCAGTCTCTAGAACAGGACCTGGTACAAAGTAAGTGCTCAATAAATACTTGTTAAACGAATGAATGAATTTAAAGACGCTTGAGACCACTGTTAAGAAATTCGGATTTCCAAACCCCTCCCCTTCCCAACTCCCACGCGTAAGAATGCTTTCGCATCAGCCTCAGGCCCGAGGTTACTTATTAGAAACTGGGCAAAGCCGGAAGGCGGCCACTTTGCAGCAAAGAAGCCCTAGACCTGGGAGCGAATCAGGCCACCTCAGGCCGCACTGCGGTCTCCTGGTTGACAGGTCGAGGCGCCTGGCGGGCGGCTAGCGTGGCCAGCTCACAGGGCTCCCGCGCGCCAGGTGAGCCCACTCACTGCGCGGACGTTGGGACTGGCAGGCGCGGGGGGGGGGGGCGGGGCCAGCGTCGCCCCGCCCCGCCCGGCCCTGCTCGCGCGTCCGTTGTCCGGCCTCCGGTCACGTGACAGCAGCGCAGGTGAGCACCGCTTCCGGGGTCGGGCTCCTTGATCGCGGCCGGCTCGGGTTTCCACTCGGTCGGTTGCGCGGGAGACTATGGCGTCCTCTTCTGTCCCACCGGCCACCGTACCGCCGGCGACAGCAGGCCCCGGCACGGGTTTCGGGTTCGCCTCCAAAACCAAGAAGAAGCATTTCGTGCAGCAGAAGGTGAAGGTGTTCCGGGCGGCAGACCCACTGGTGGGTGTGTTCCTGTGGGGCGTAGCCCACTCGGTGAGCACCGGTCCTAGACCCCCGCAGCCCTGTCCAAAGCCCTCTGCTCCGAGACGTCCCTGTTTCCAGGTTCCAGCCTCCGGAGCCCCACGCGCTGCCACTCCCCTCCCCCGGGCTGCCTTGGTCCTTGTCCAGGAACCCCCGGGTGTTCCCCCAGCAGGTTTTCTGATTGTGGACTTTTTTCTCTCCGTCAGCCCTTTACTGCTCCACTCTAGTTCCACCTTTCCCCCTGAAATCCAGCTCCCTGTGCTTTGACTCCTTCCTGCCGTGTCCAGCTTCACTCCCTGACTACGGAGACTGGCCAGGACTGGGCGCCGGCAGGGAGGACATTAGGGGGAGTGGCTTTTTCTTGGGTGGTGTTGGTGAGAGTGTAGGTGGAGGGTGGGGGGCCGAGGGGACTAGATGGATGAAGAGGTTCTTTCATTTTGTTTTCCACCTCGCTTTCCAGCCCCGGTTCTTGGCTTTTGAATCTTGACTTTGTCTAGGGGAAGCTCCAGGTTTCCTGGACTTTCTTTTATCCTGCTTCTCCGTTCCTTTCCCTTCCAGAGGTACAGCATTTCAGAGAAACTACCCCACCCTGAACTAGAAGTTGCAGCCTCTCAGGACTTATGTATATATGCCTTTGGTCTTAACTGCATCCTCACGCTGGCTGGAGCAATCGGTTTTGGTGTAGGTGGCAGCGATTTTTGACCAAAGAGAAGGCTGAGGAGCTCTGGCCTTGGGGTCACTATGGTTGTGAACTTAAGAAGCAGGAAACCGCTCTAGCGGGTAGGGCCTGGGAGTCAGGAGACAGCCAAGGAGACTTCCATCCCTTTTCCTGAGGATACCTCAGGTGAAAGAAGCACAGCCATTGCCCATCTTCCATCAGGTCTGGAGTGGGAGAAATACAGTGATCTTGAATGTGACAGGGAATATTTTCGAAATCAACGTTCTTGAATGATTATAGTCATGGCTGCGTTGTGGAGATGGAAGTTGTGAGGAAGAGTACAGGGTTTGCCACGTTTTTAATTTGCGGTAAAGAATTTCTTAACCGCAAATTAGGAATGTTGTTTGTGGCCAGTCAGATCGCTTTTGGATTTGTGACACTCTGGGTGGTAAGCTCTTAGTGAGTATTCAGTGGAAGACACTTCGCATGGGGAAGGCTGATAGAGGTAGGGCTGCCTCTCCTGTGTACCTTCCAGGTGATTAATCCATCCCTATGGGATGCTTAACAGGGAGGGTTTTCCCTTGTTAAGGATTGGGGGAGTTACATGTAAGACCTACCTCAGTTTCACTAGGTATATATACTCTAGCTCCAGCACCCCACCCTCTGCCAACACACATCTACTTCAAGTGTTTGGAATGGAGAAATTCCTTGAACATATGTCTTAGTGATGATTCAGCTTGCCTAGCAGGTGGGGAGGAGGGGGCAGGAAGAACTCTAGCTGAATTTTAGGCTGGGAATCTCAAGTGGCTTTTTTTTTTTTTCCCCTGGAGGAATATGTTCTGTCCTCCTTTTCTACTGAGAACGGGAGGAGTTGCTTGCACAGCAGTGTGTGGGATTTAGGTTAGACTGCAGTTCATAATCTCTGTGGAATGATCTAGTAAGGATAGGCAAGGGATTCATTTATTTGATTAACAGACATGTCAGGATCACTGTGTGCCAAACACTGTGCTACTTAGACACCTGAGAGATGGAGAGGACCCGAACGAACGTGTGTTCTTTAAGAGCTCACAAGCTAGATGGGTGAACTTACATAAACTAGTGATTACAGTCATGTGGTAACAAAGGCTGGTGAAAGGTACTGTAGCAACAGCAAGGAGAAAGCACAGCTAGGGATTTCTAAGTAGCAGAGCTTCATTTCTACCCTGAATTAGCAGACTGCAGATCCTGGGGGCCGAGGAGAACATGTGATGCTTGTGTCCTCTGTGCTGTGGATTAGTTTGGCTTTAGGGAACAGATGCCTAATGAGCTCATATCCTCTGATTGCCTGCATTCCCTCTGAAATCAGCTGCTCTTCCTTTACCTTACACCTAGACAGGTGGGGGCCTACTGCAGACAACTGGGTCAGAGTGGTCTAGGAAGACTGGTCCTGTTTGCAAAGAGATGCCTTCTGCAGGATATGAACATTTATCCTTTCGGCTGTGGTTGGCCCCTCAGAATCCCAACTCTCTTGTGCATTTTAAAAATCTTTATTTTTTTCTTTTTCTAATGGAACACATAGCTGTCTTGAGTCTGCAGAGGTTTTTTTTTTTTTTTTTTTTTTTTTTTTTTCTAGAATTTCTCACAGCTTTAATAATAGTTCTGAGTTGCTTACAGGGTTATCCTAATATAAAATTACTGTTGTGAGCATGAAGGGGTGGGAGTGTTGGGGGTTTTGTGTGAGGGTTGCTTACTGTAGTCCTTCTCGGGCAGCAGAAGGGTTAGACACATTCTCTCACTTCTGTCAAGCATATACATAGCCAGTGTTTTTAAAGGAATGAGATTTGAGTGGCCTTTCCATGACTGCTGCCCACATACAGTGTATGGGTAGCTCTCCACACCTTACTCATGGCTTCCCTATTCATGTTTTGGCTTATCAGATCAATGAGCTCAGCCAGGTACCTCCCCCGGTGATGCTGCTGCCAGATGACTTTAAGGCCAGCTCCAAGATCAAGGTCAACAATCACCTTTTCCACAGGTAAATGATGATCCTTGCCATTCTCATGTCAACCTTCCTAGAAAGATGTAATAAATACTTTTTTTTTTTTTTTTTGAGACGGAGTTTCGCTCTTGTTACCCAGGCTGGAGTGCAATGGTGCGATCTCGGCTCACCGCAACCTCCGCCTCCTGGGTTCAGGCAATTCTCCTGCCTCAGCCTCCCAAGTAGCTGGGATTACAGGCACGTGCCACCATGCCCAGCTAGTTTTTTGTATTTTTAGTAGAGACGGGGTTTCACCATGTTGGCCAGGATGGTCTCGATCTCTTGACCTCGTGATCCACCCGCCTCGGCCTCCCAAAGTGCCGGGATTACAGGCTTGAGCCACTGCGCCCGGCCCTAATAAATACTTTTAAAAGTTTCAGTGAACTGAAAATTTAACCTCCTTCCCAATGCAGAAATTAGTTTTGTGCAAAGAAACCATGAGAATAATTTCTGGTATTCCCTATATCCTTATCCAGTGTTATCTCTCCTCTAGCCTGGCAATTCCATAGAATAAATATGTGTAGATACCATTACCTGCTCTTTTTTCTCTTTCTTTTTCTGCTTGTGACCTTGCAGATGCCATGAGACCATTAGCTTCTGACAGGGACTCCTTGAAAGAAAAACCTGAGTTCTCTAAGCCCTCTTAGTATCAGAAGATGCCATTCAAAACAGTGGTGCCTGTTGCTCACTTTAGAATGTCTCTGACTTGCTTGAGCTTTGGGGAATGCTGCTGTTTGGATGGGTAGTAGATCCTGGCTCTACTACACCACTTACCAACCATGTTACTTAGGCAGGTCACTCAATCACCCTGAGACACAGTCTCCCCTTCTATAACATGGAAATAATGTATTTTTATAGGACTTCACAAGGGCCAGATGTGGTGACACATACCTGTAATCCCAGCACTTTGGGAGGCCAAGGCAGGTGGATCCCTTGAGGTCAGGAGTTTGAGACCAGCCCGACCAACATGGTGAAACCCCGTCTCTACTAAAAATACAAAAATTAACCAGGTGTGGTGGCACGTGCCTGTAATCCCCACTACTCAGGAGGCTGAGGCAGGAGAATTGCTTGAACCCAGGAGATGGAGGTTGCAGTGAGCCGAGATTACGCCACTACACTCCAGCGTGGGTGCCAGAGCAAGACTCTGTCTCGAAAAAATATAAATAAATAAATTAAATAAATAAAGGACCTCACAGGGTTTTATGATAATCAAATGAGGTAATATGTCTGAAGGAACTTTATAAACTACCAAATGTATGTAAATGTAATATTGTTTGTTTTCTTACTTTGAAAAACCTGAATTTCAGGGAAAATCTACCCAGTCATTTCAAGTTCAAGGAGTATTGTCCCCAGGTCTTCAGGAACCTCCGTGATCGATTTGGCATTGATGACCAAGATTACTTGGTGAGAGTCCGTTAAGGGGTGAGGGTGGCCCTTTCTCATCAGCAACTGAGGAGTCCTATTTGGGACAGCCATAGTTGGAGAAATGGGAGTCTTGGCAGATATGATTCTTTTACCTTTTTGCAGTCACAGGTATTTTCAAAATTTAATGAAAACCATAAACCATGTCCTTGGGGGAAAAGATGTAGATACATTAAGAATTTTGGCCAGGCATAATGGCTCATGCCTGTAATTCCAACACTTTGGGAGGCCGAGTTGGGCAGATTACCTGAGGTCAGGAGTTCGAGACCAGCCTGGCCAACATGCCGAAACCCTGTCTCTACTAAAGATACGAAAATCAGTTGGGCATGGTGGCGCATGTCTGTAGTCCCTGCTACTTGGGAAGCTGAGGCAGGAGAATTGCCTGAACCTGGGAGGCAGGGATTGTAGTGAGCCGAGATCGCACCACTACACTCCAACCTGGGTGAAGAGCAAGACTCCTTGTCAAAAGAAAAAAAAGAATTATGCATTCAGTTTCATTCAGTCCTGAAATACGGACACCTGATGAGGAGTCTGTGCTAAATCTACTACCCCAGGGACTCATCCACTTTCAGCTGACCATTTTCATATGACTTGTTTCTGCATATAAAGGGGGAGGAAAAGAGCCTCTGGCTTATTCTGTGTCCCCAGGTGTCCCTTACCCGAAACCCCCCCAGCAAAAGTGAAGGCAGTGATGGTCGCTTCCTTATCTCCTATGATCGGACTCTGGTCATCAAAGAAGTATCCAGTGAAGACATTGCCGACATGCATAGCAATCTCTCCAACTATCATCAGGTCAGGCCTCCCTAGCCCCATTCTTTCCCTCTCCTCCCTACCTACATATAGCTCAGCTGCTCTCAGTAATAGATGCTGACTGGGGAGAAAACTCAGATCAGTACACAACTGGAATACATTGGAAGACAGAATCCATAATCACCAGCCCTAAATGGGATGAGGGAAGCTATTCTGTCTGATAAGATTTACTTGGAGTGTGGAGTTTCTGGAATGTTTTGGCAGTAAAAACACTCTTCTTGAATGTCTCTCTACTAAAGAAAAATTTCACCAAAATCAGTGAGGAAGGAATACGTGAAGGGTCTAAAAGGAGTTTGGTTTATGCAACAAATATTGAATATCTCTTATTATTAGGTCCTATGTTAGTCAGTAGACAAGGAGGCAAATGAAACAGTCATGGCCCTTACAGATCTCTCAGTCTAATGGCAGTGACCAGTGACCCAGTATTAGCATACAGCAAGATGTGTACGATAGAAGAAGTCTGTACAGAATGCCCTGAAGCTGCAGAGAAGAGCATCCTAACTCACCTGGGGAAAGGAGTGTACTTGGGAGGCTAAAGACAGTTTTTTAGAGGAGATACTGTGAGAGTTGATCCTTGAAGGACTAGTAGGGGTTAACCATTGGACAGGGTAGAAGAGCATTCTAGGCAAAGGAAAACAGCACTGGCAAAGGCACAGAGCCATGAGAGAACTCTGTGTTAGGAAACTGCAAGCAATTCCATTTGGATGGGATATAGTATTATGGAGATAGGCAGGAGCCAGATTGTGAAGAGGCTTATAAGCCCCACAAAGAAGTCTGGGCTTTATCCTGAAGGTGGTTTTGCAAGGGGAGTGATATATTGGTTATTTAGAAATATTTAGAAAATGTGACAGCACTTTAGAGAATGGATTGGTGAGAGGGAACACTCAGAGTGTGGATACCAGTTAGGAGGTAATTTTAACAGTCCATGGTAGAACTGATGAAGGCCTGGGAGAGCGATGGTGATGGGGATAGAAAAGAAGACCTGTGAGGGAATTGTGAGAGTTAGGACAAGGAGTTGGGCGCAGTGGCTCACGCCTGTTATCCTAACACTTTGGGAGGCCGAGGCAGGTGGATTGCCTGAGCTCAGGAGTTCAAGACCAGCCTGGGCAACACGGTGAAACGCTTTCTCTACTAAAATACAAAGAATTAGCCAGATGTGGCGGCATGTGCCTATAGTCCTAGCTACTCAGGAGGCTGAGGCAGGAGAATTTCTTGAACCCAGGAGGCGGTGAGTCGAGATTGTGCCACTGCATTCCAGCCTGGTGACAGAGTGAGAGTCCATCTTAAAAAAACAAACAAAAAAGGCACATATGGTCCAAGTTCCTGGTTAGGGATAACTGGTGCCCATTCACCAGAAATTAGAAGTGAGGAACAGGCTTTCAAAGGAAGAAAGTTCTGATTTGGACATATTGAATTTGACATTTGTGCAATTCATCCAGATAAGGATGTCCAGTAAGTGGTTGGGGTATGGATGTGGAATTCAGGAAAGAGGATTAGACTGGGAATATAGGTTTGAAAATTATACGTGAATAAATGATCATTAAAACCATGACTATAGATGCAATTATTTTAGGGAGGTGTGTGGAGTGAAATAAGAAAGTTGAGGACAGAACCTGAAGGAGCAAGTGAAGAAACGAGCCCATAAAAGAGTAGATGGACACTTAATTATTTATGCAATACTACATTCCATACAGGATTTGAGGACAAAGAAGGGGAATCAGGAGGGTGGTATAAGAAGAGCTGAGGATCGCGGCCGGGGGCGGTGGCTCAAGCCTGTAATCCCAGCACTTTGGGAGGCCGAGGCGGGTGGATCACGAGGTCAAGAGATTGAGACCATCCTGGTCAACATGGTGAAACCCCGTCTCTACTAAAAATACAAAAAATTACCTGGGCATGGTGGTGCGTGCCTGTAATCCCAGCTACTCAGGAGGCTGAGGCAGGAGAATTGCCTGAACCCAGGAGGCGGAGGTTGCGGTGAGCCGAGATCGCGCCATTGCACTCCAGCCTGGGTAACAAGAGTGAAACTCCGTCTCAAAAAAAAAGAAGAGCTGAGGATCAAGAGAGTTTTAAGGGGAGACTGGTCAATAGGATCAGGTACCACAAAGCTGAAATATGACAATGACTAGACTATTTATTAGATTTGACAACTGAGGGATTTGGGGGAGATTTCAGAGGAGAAATGAGTTATAAACCTGATTTCAGTGATTCAAGGTATGAATGAGAGACAGGAAATGGATTGATTGCTGATTGCTTTTCTATTGGCTATGAAGAGAAAGGCAGCAACACAGAGAAAGAGAGATGGTAAACAGCGAAGGGATTATTATTTTTTTAAGAGACAGGATCTCACTGTGTTGCCCAGGCTGGTCTCAAACTCCCGGGCTTAAGCGATCCTCCTGCCTGAGCTCCCCAACTAGCTAGGATTACAGGTGTAAGCCTGGCTTAATAGAATATTTTTTTAAGAATCCAAATTGTGGGCTGGGTGTGGTGGCTCATGCCTGCAATCCCAGCACTTTGGGAGGCCGAGGCAGTTGGATCACAAGGTCAGGAGATCGTGACCATCCTGGCTAACAAGGTGAAACCCCATCTCTACTAAAAATACAAAAAATTAGCTGGGCGTGGCGGCGTGCACCTGTAGTCTCAGCTACTCAGGAGGCTGAGGCAGGAGAATTGCTTGAACCTGGGAGGCAGAGGTTGCAGTGAGCTGAGATTGCACCACTGCACTCCAGCCTGGGCAACAAAGTGAGACTCCGTTTCCAAAAAAAAAAAAAAGAATCCAAATTGTAGGCAGTCATGCAGACTTTTTTTTTTTTTGGAGGTATAAAAATCTGTTATTTATATTGCAATGACAGAATGACACAGCACAGCCCAACTCAATGCAGACATTTTAAACTATGGGAATCTAGCCTAGGAAGAAACACTGCTCTAGATAAAATGATTTAATTGATAAGAAGGTGTAAGTTCTAATCCTGGTTCTGTGACCACTTTCATATAGAGAGGGTCTAAATAAGGATAATAACACTTAACTTTCCTCATCTCAAAGAATGAGAAAGGTGAATCGAGAGATGACACTTTAAAATTAAGAGACATACAAATAGAAGAAATCAGAGGAACAGGGGATTCAGAAATGGAATGGATTACCTGGAGTGTTTTGGGGAAGGAACTTCCATCACTTTTGAGTTTGTAACCTCTCTACTTGAAGTCTTCTGCTCCACCCTGGAATGGCAGTGTTTGAATTCCCACCCCTGTGCTGCTTGTGTATCTGCTACTCAGCCTCTCCCCATTCCTTACCCCTCTTTCACCTAGTACATTGTGAAGTGCCATGGCAACACACTTCTGCCCCAGTTCCTGGGTATGTACCGAGTCAGTGTGGACAATGAAGACAGCTACATGCTTGTGATGCGCAATATGTTTAGCCACCGTCTTCCTGTGCACAGGAAGTATGACCTCAAGGTAAGAAGCGGATAGCTCAGGCTTAGAGGGAGGCTCCTGATAGCCTGAGAATGGGGAAGACCCCGGGAGGTCTTTGGATGATTCTTTTTAAAGGAAAGAAGGCTGGATTTCAGTACTCGTCTTAGGAGCTAGGTTCTGACTCTTCTTTTAGCCACTTCTACCAACTTAGTCTTTGGGTCTTTCTGCAGGGATCCCTAGTGTCCCGGGAAGCCAGTGACAAGGAAAAGGTAATACTAATTTTATGTGCTAGGGTAAGGGGTGAGGGATGAAGGAGGGCAGATGAGGGGAACTTCTTAGGATGGAGAGGCCACTCTATATAGGAATAGGGATTACTAGCTATTTATTATCTTAAACCACTTAAAAGAAGAGGGGGTAAACTTCTGTTGAGCTGGAGATTGTTTGCAGGGGCAGTGGGAGCAGCTGCTTTAACATTGGCCTGGATTATTCCATATGGAGGGCTTGGGGATGGGTGAGGATGCCAGACTTTAAGAGCAAAGTGTTTAACTTCCACTTCCCATTCTGGGTTATTTTATTCAAGCAGCTACTTTTGCTTAAGAAGAAACAGGCCGGGCATGGTGGCTCATACATATAATCCCAGGACTTTAGAAGGACAAGGCAGGAGGACCCTTGAGCCCAGGAGTTCCAGACCAGCCTGGGCGACATAATCTCTACAAAAATAAAAAAAAAATTGGCCAGGCCTGGTGGCCAATTCTTCCTCAAGTGGAAGAATCACCTGAGCCCAGGAGGTCGAGTCTACAGTGAGCTGAGATCGCACCACTTACATTCCAGCCTAGGCAACAGAGCGAGATTCTGTCTCAAAAAAAAAAAAAAGGAGGGTCTTGGCTGAAAATCATAAGCAGAGAGTAGTGGGATGGGATGGGATTTGGGATACAGCTGTAGTGACTGAGTCTGGGGAAGTCACTGGAGTTGAGAACAGATCAGGGAAGCATCCCAGTGTGGAGTTAGATGAGCTCTCTGCTAGAGGATACTGAGCTAGACAGAAGGTGAAGTTCTGAGACCTTAGGCAAGGGATGTGTTCCCAAGATGTCCCTTTACCTATTCTTAGGTTAAAGAATTGCCCACGCTTAAGGATATGGACTTTCTCAGCAAGAACCAGAAAGTGTATATTGGTGAAGAAGAGAAGAAAATATTTCTGGAGAAGCTAAAGAGAGATGTGGAGGTGATGATTGGGTGCTCTGGGAAATGGCTTTGTTTCCTTTTTTTTGCTTCCTCTAGGATACTTGACTCCTTAGTTCACAGTATGAGGGAGCTCTCCTCTTCCCTTTATTATTCAGGTCCTCTGCTGCATGTATGAGGATTGGGTATGAGACATGCAAAACCCCTAGAGCTGACCCATGGAAGGGGTGACTGGAATAAGCTAAAAGGATGATCTTAGATACCAGGACATATAGGCACTGAAGGGCAGTGGTATGCCCTGCAACCTCCATTCTTAGACTTCATTTCCCCAGGAGGGCCCCAGCAGTTCAAAGGTAGAGGTACAGGGGTGGTACCTCGTGAAGAGGGAGAGAGAGGTGTCTGATTTGTCAGTGGGTCTCAGTTTCTAGTGCAGTTGAAGATCATGGACTACAGCCTTCTGCTGGGCATCCACGACATCATTCGGGGCTCTGAACCAGAGGAGGAGGGGCCTGCGCGGGAGGATGAGTCAGAGGTGGATGGGGACTGCAGTCTCACTGGACCTCCTGCTCTGGTGGGCTCCTACGGCACCTCCCCAGAGGGTATCGGAGGCTACATCCATTCCCATCGGCCCCTGGGCCCAGGAGAGTTTGAGTCTTTCATTGATGTCTACGCCATCCGGAGTGCAGAAGGTGGGAACTGGGACAATTTAAGGGTGGAGAGGGGATTGTTTTTGGGGGACAGAGACCCAGGGGAGAGCCTGGTTAGCTTTTCAGAACAAAACTGGCTGGTTCCTGGAGAAAGGGAATTGGAACTAAACCTGCTCTGAATTGTTGGTCTCTCTCCCAGGAGCCCCCCAGAAGGAGGTCTATTTCATGGGCCTCATTGACATCCTTACACAGTATGATGCCAAGAAGAAAGCAGCTCATGCAGCTAAAACTGTCAAGCATGGGGTGAGGGTTCCTGAAAGCCTTTCCTTTCATGTCTTGATATTCTTTGGGAAGAGAGAGCCTCTTGTGCTAGAGCAATCGGGTGGCAAAAGGATGGAAGTGGTCTGGGGTAGACTGGGTGGGTGACGGGGATGGGTACTGCGGTGGCCTGACACATTGTTCCATATCTCCTCTCACAGGCTGGGGCAGAGATCTCTACTGTCCATCCGGAGCAGTATGCTAAGCGATTTCTGGATTTCATTACCAACATCTTTGCCTAAGAGACTTCACGACTCCCTGATGTTCAAGGTGGTAGGGTTCTGAGAGGTTGGGGGGAATTGTGGGTATTCTAGCCACCACATCTTCTTTTGCTAAATTCAGGCTGCAGGCTCCTTCCATCCAGATAACTCCATCCTGTTTAGTAGGCTTCTGACCCTCAGAAATACATTGTCCTTTCTCCCCTTTGCCCATTTTTCTCCCCTCTCTCCCTCCCCCCAAGAAGTCTGCTTGTATTATTAGAATGTTATTGTTGATTCTCTCCCAAGTGCCTTGATCTTTGTAAAATCTCCTGTTGTTTCTATGATATAGGAGCTGGGGTAAGGGGGTTGTTTGCCATCTTCAGGACCTGACTGGACAGATGGACCTGGCTCAAGCAACTACTCTGGATGCACTTTGCTGTGTGGGATGCACTAAAAGTGTCTGAATTTTGCTGATAACTTTATAGAACTCACTATGGCATGCTTCTCTCCTGGTGGGCCCTAGGATGGAGGACAGTCAAGATACTACAGATGTGGGTACAGGCATGCACACACATGATGGAATATGGCCAGCCCTACACAGGCGGGGTAGAGAGTGGGTCAGCAGCCTGGCACCTCACAGAGGTGGGGCCTACGAGGATTCTTGTGATTATGCAGAGAATTGGATTGGGTCTCTGTCAGAGATGGAGTAATCTCTTCCCTCACCTTAGTTCCATCCCCACCCATCTCTACTTCTGGACACAGGAGCCCAGAGATGGCCAAAAGCATTCAAGCCTGGAGGAAGGTGTTTGACTATTGCTGCTCTTCGCCAGAACCTCGCACCTCTCCTGGGACTGGAACCCTTCAGTGGGTGTGTGGCCAGTTCTGGAGGCTAGGATTCTGGGCCATGGTGTAAGGTTCATTCTCCACGTTAAGTTTCCTTTCAGCCAGGTGCAGTGGCTCACGCCTGTAATCCCAGCACTTTGGGAGGCCGAGGCAGGCAGATCTCCTGGGGTCAGGAGTTCGAGACCAGCCTGATCAACATGGAGAAACCCCATCTCTACTAAAAATACAAAATTAGCCAGGTGTGGTGGCACATGCCTGTAGTCCCAGCTACTTGGGAGGCTGAGGCAGAAGAATCGCTTGAACCCAGGAGGCGGAGGTTGCGGTGAGCCAAGATGGTGCCATTGCACTCCAGTCTGGGTAACAAGAGCGAAGTTTCCTTTCGTCCTGCCTAGCCATCCCCAAGTATATTTTCAGAAGAAGGGAATATCTCTACTTGGATCAATTCTGGTCATTGCAAGAGGATGGAGGCCTCAGTGTGGGAACCTCCCCTACTCCCTGGATGTGTGTGCCTAGCACACTTCCTTCTCTCGCCCCTTCTCAAACCCTTTTTCCACTTGGATTTGTTGTTCTGTTCTCTTCTTGTCCTGTCTTATACTGCTACTGTGTCTCTTAGGGGACAGATGGCCTTCTTTGTCATCTTCACTCTCCACCCCCAGAGAGGAGTCAGAGCCATAACTCAATCACTCAGCCCCTCCAAAGATAGTTGAGTGGATGATGTGTGATATTCTCATAATGTTAAGAACCCTGATGAGATGACATACATTGTCTTCCCCCCCCCCCACAATGCCTCTGGAGCCAAGGCACCCACCCATTCATCTTGTTATCCTCCATCCCCCTGAGGCTTCCACTTTTTTTTTTTTTTTTAACCTTAAGATGGGCACCAGCAACTGGCCTGTGGTGATGCAAAGCTGTTTTGCTCTGTATCTGGCTGGACTGATCTGTCTCCCAAGAAGCCATGAGGCAATAGGGAGACGCTCTCTCTCCTCTTCATCTTCTGCTCCAAAGGAGGTAGCAAGAGGAGCACCCCTTTAGGGGTTGGAGCCCCTGTAACATCTTCCTGTCAGGAGACTGATGGATCTTCTTCATTCCAACCATCTCCCTTCCCCAAGTGAATGCAATAAAACTTTGTGACACCAGCAACTGTTGTTCTTTAGAAATGGGTTTTCTGATCACATGGCTGATGTATTATGGGCAGTATGAATGTCTTCATTTGTTGCTTCTGTTTCTCATCTTTTTTGTTTTATTAATAAAAATTTGTGTATTTGCTCCCATTGCTATCATAATACAGGGAATAAATTATTCAATCCAAATTCCTGTACAGAATTTTTTTTTTTTTTTTTTTAAACATTTCACTTCTCTGAGGAAGCCTGTGCTTAAGGGTGCAGAGACCAGCTGAAGAATTCTGGTGTTCAAGGTGTTGGGCCCCTAACTAAGGATGTGGGTTTCTAGATAGATGGCTGTGAACTTTATTGAAAAGGCTGTGAAGGGTGTGCACGGGAATGGAAAGCTTAGTCTTTAACCTTGTGGCAGGTCAGCGGTCGTGAGGGCCAGGGAAGAGTAGGGTGATGGGACCCTTCCTCTTCCCAGAGTTCTGGACTTGGCTAACACTCCATTTGGCAAAGGTGAGTAGGCCTCTCAGCCCACCTGCTAAAAGAAAAGGAATTCAGTATTCCCCCCGGCTTCCTGGGAAAGCTGTCCTCTTCCTGGAGGGAAGGAAGAGTACAGCTGCAGCAGGGTCCTGGGAAAGTGAAGAAAGTGACCAGCCCTCCAGTCTAGAGGGGGAGTGAAAAAGGGGTGGACGAATTGAGGTTGTTGCCAGTTTGGGAGATTCCTGTCTTAGCTGAGAAAGTCTTTTGGCTGGTGGAAAAACCTGGCTTGATGTGGCCTCAGGGAAGTGAGTTGGATTGGGGGCGGAGACTGCTTGAAGTGGGAAGCCGAGCAGAGCTTTTTTTCTTTGAGAGTTTTTAACTCTATTTGAACCATACACTTGACACAACCACCACCCCAAGCCACTTTTAAAAAAATGTATTCACTTCCCATTCTGCACCAGCCGCCATATCCGTTTGTGGAAAGAGAAAATCAGAGGCACTTACCAATGACCCTATGAGAGCAGGTTGTGGGGGTCACAGGAGGTAACAATCTAGAAAGAGGCAGGAGATGAGGGAGGGGATTGAAATAGTTTAGTACCGGGATGTGTTTATTTTTTAGAACCAATGCTTTTCTTTTTACTATGACTCTCCCCAACCCACATTGTTCCTCAAAGGCCCTTCTACCATAAGGATTCAAAAAATTGCCGCCCTCCCCCCGAATCCCCATATACCACCAACACTTCACCCACCCATCCACCACCGGCTCCCGGGAGCTGCTACGCAGCTGACTGGGAAAGAAAAGGGAGAGTGCTCCGCCGGGAGGCGGGAGCGAGAAGGGTGGCGTCTCCAGGGATTTAACCTCCTACCCTCAGTTCCGTGACGCCACCCCCTCCCTCCAAAGACTGGGACAGCTCCTCCATTTTTGTTGTGGGGAGGAAGAGCAGGGGCTTGCGGATAGAGGGGGTCAAAGGGAACGGTGATTATCGCCTGTGAGGGGAAAGGGGGTGCTGTCCTCCCTCCTTCCCTTTCCATCAGCCTGCACCCCCTGCAACCCCCCACCTTCTCGGGGTCTCCCCCCCTTGTTGCTAAGGCCCGGACCGTCATCCCAGCAACAGCCTCAGTCATGTGACCGGCAATGGCGGCGCTGACGAGAGGTAGGTGAGCCCGGCGCCCCCCACACCCACCGCGCGCCCCCCAGGCCCCACTCGCACCCCTCACACGCCCCCCGCTCCCCCCGGCGCCCTCTCTTCCCACTCCCCTCCCCGCGTGCCGCTCCGGGCCTCCAGCTCCGGGCCCAGGCGATCATCTCTCTAGCACCCTTCAGCCTTGGCCTCTATTCGGGGGTTCTGAGAGCTGCGATCGGGCCGACCTGCACCCCCACCCGGGGATGGGGTCCGGGGGCTTCGGCGAGTGAGGGATGTGGGGAGTTGGTTACGGGCTGGGTGTTGGAGGAGGCCGTGGGGGGAGGGCTGGAGCGGCCTCCGTGGATGCCCCCAGGGACCCTTGCCCTTCCCGGCTGTCCCTCCCTCCGGCCTCGGTCTGGAGGGAGACTGCTCCCTTGTCCGGCCTGGGTTGCCACAGAAGAATCACAGACCCACCCTAAACTGTGGCCCCGCCTCCCTTTTCTGTGCCAGCAGGACTTGGAGCTAGGACACCTAGGTCCTGGGTCCCTTGTGATGAGGAGGGAGGTGTTGCATCGCGGGTAGACTGTATGGGCTGAGGATCTAGGGTTCCATTTTCACTTTATGAATCTCAAGGTGCCTCTGGCCTTGGGGGACATTGATAGAGGCATGAAGGGACAGCTGCTCCTTTTTGGATCAGTCAATAAATGGAGGTCACACTAATGGCCCCTCCTTCTGTTTGAGCTGCATTGGGAGGTGTTGTGGGGACAGCCCTGTAGCCCAATGCGACCAGACTCAGGCGAAACATCAGGCCCCTCCAGCTGAGCCCTTGTGTGAGCCCCGCCCCTCCCTAAATACCAGACTAGGGAGCTGACAGACAGCCCTGCCTGTGCTGGGTTTAAAAGGTGACAATGAGAACTTTGTTATTGCGGGGGCTGCTGCCACTTTGTTCACCTCTTTAACAGCCTTCAGCGGAAGGGACTGAGTTAGCTCTCAGGGAAGGCTCCCTGGCAATCGGGGCTGAATTATTTGGGAATATGGAGCAGCGCAAGGAATCGGGAACATAGGAAATATTCCAGTCCATGTGATCTGAGGGAGGTGTCAAGAAGACCTCCACCTGTGTGGACTTTTTTCTCCCTGGCTTCTCTTATGTGTGCCCTAGGCCTTCTTGGGGACCTCAGAGCTGGGGAAGAAAGGAGGAAGGTTAGCGTGTTGAAGTTCCTTCTTGAGCAACTTGGGGAGAAGCTGAGGACGGAATTCTGCAGAGGAGAGAGGAAATGGAAGGGGAGTTTTTATTTCCGGGTTGGCTGAGGGAAATGGTAACATTTGCCATCATAACTTTTTACCCTTCTCCCACTCCCAGGCCTGGTCAGCTGAGTGGAAGTAGAAGGATTTCTGCTGCCATCATCTTCCATGGGCTTTCCAGGTACCTCCTCCACAAGGGATCCTCAGCTCACCCTTAAACTGGTTTTCTTCATTCCATGTTCCAAGTAATCCCATTCCCAGTAACCTATGCCCAGGTTTCTGTCTCTGTTCCATGGGCTGCTGGGTTGGGGGCCAAGGGAATTGGGAGAAGGGGTTTCTCACTTTCCTTCCTTTTTTCCGTCCTGCCAGGTCACACGACCTACAAGTAGGGAGCAGGGAAAAAAGAGTGAGCCTGCATGCCAATTCTAAGCTCTTCAGGATCAAAGTAAGCAAAAAGGAGGGGCAAAAAGTCTCCCTCCCCTTTAAAGAGCCCATTTTCCCCCCCAGAGGTGGGAGGGGCAAATTGTTTCTATGATCTGGGAGAAATGACAGGAGAAACAAGACCGATGCTTGGCTTACATGATAATACGGTTCTGGAAACTTGCTTGGTCTTCAGTGGGCTTTGGAAGATAAAGGGAGATAGAATATGAATTTGGGGGAAGGGTTGGGAGTTAGGCTTTGAGAAAACAGGTAATAGAGGGTGTGGAAAGAGCCTGAAGTAGGAGGCACTGATACTTGTCAAATGGGGACCCCCCACCCTGAGTCCCTGTCACCCTGGGGGCAGTGTCGTTCGTCCTGTCCAGAATGGCAGCCTGTGGAGGCACCTGCAAGAACAAAGTGACTGTCTCCAAGCCTGTGTGGGACTTCCTGAGCAAGGAGACCCCAGCCCGGCTGGCCCGGCTTCGGGAGGAACACCGTGTGTCCATCCTCATAGATGGCGAGACTTCTGACATCTATGTTCTCCAGCTTTCCCCACAGGGCCCTCCCCCGGCCCCTCCCAATGGGCTCTACCTAGCCCGGAAGGCTCTCAAGGGGCTGCTAAAAGAGGCAGAGAAAGAGCTGAAGAAAGCTCAGAGGCAGGGGGAGCTGATGGGCTGCCTGGCACTGGGGGGTGGAGGGGAGCACCCTGAGATGCACCGCCCAGGCCCACCCCCTCTCCGAGCAGCCCCACTTCTGCCCCCAGGGGCTCG